AATTCTTTCAAAAGTGCATATAATTTGGGACAGAGGGAGTATGATTTATAACCAAAATGTCTCATATTTTTATGAAATTTGAAATGTGCAACATTAGTGCATTTTATGACTTATAGTAAAAGATAGGCCACTTTATAAATCATAATTATATTTTTTTAATACAAGGCCACAGATAACCATGCAAGATTAAGTTAAATCAAGATGCATAAGAATGTGACATTTAAACGGAGGATCTTCAAAAATTGAGATGTCGATATTGTCGTTTAAAGCTTGACAAGCTAGCCAACCAATTCGCACAATTGTTGAATTCTCCAAACATATAGTTGAAGTTGATGACCTAGTCCCTTATGGTGAGGTCTCTGATTTTGCTTATAACTTCATTGAAGGGGGTGGTTGGGATTGTGGTAATGTCGAATAAGCGATAAAGTTTCAATGGAGTCAGAGTAAACATTAACATGGGTAATTTTGTATTTTCAAAAAAGAAAAAGACCTTTAAGGATGGTCAGGAGCTCAACGGTAGTACTAGGATGATAACCAAGGTATTTGGTAAAGCCTTTTATCCAATCATCTTAGTCATTGCGGATAAGGCCATTGCATGTAGCAGCTCCATTGGTGAAGACTAAACCATCAACACCCAATCTAACCCAACCAGGTTTTGGTAGAGTCCATTTAGCAAGAGATCTGTCATGGTCTAAATGCACATTCTCGAGTTGAGTTTGGAGATAGCTATCATTGATAATGTCTTGGGTGCTGGAGAAGATGATATCCTTGTCAGGAATGTGATCTTTAGGTTATATATAAGAGCAGCGATCTTTCCAAATGTTCCAACATATGTGAGCAAATAGTTTTTTCCAAGGGGTTCTTCTGGTATTTGGGCCTCCAACGCTATTTTTTGCATTCCAAAGAATCTAATCTTGTAAGGAAAGACAAAAGAAAGTGTTAAGTTTTGAGTATTTTACTAATTTCATCCACGCTTGGCTTGATTTAGTGTAGTCGTGTAAAATATGAATGGAGGAGTCAAGGGAGTTGCAATCGAAGGGGCAAGCTCTTATGGAAGGATTCACGTTGTTAGGATTGACAAATTTGGTGTGGAGATGATCCCATGTAGCTTTTCAGGAAAAAAAACTTGATCTTTTCATAAGTAGGCTATTTCCATATAGTAGACCAAATTTTGGAATTGATATCTCCTCCACAATTCTTAATAGCTTTATCAGAAAACTTGATGGAGAAGTTGCCATTAGAAGAAGGTCTCCAAACATAAGTATTATTTTTTCCATGAGGGTTGGGAGGTTGAACCAATAGGATGGAGAAGATAACGATTAATTTTTGTGAATATTCCATCTACTTGTAACTAAGCGAAAATTAGAAATTCTAGTATGAAGAAGGTCCTCAGCTTTAAGAGAAGCATACGTAACAAGAGGCTCGGGCAAAGGAGACCACCTATCACACCAGAAGGATATTTGATCTCCCTTGCTGACTTTCCAGCCAACATGAGATATAAAGGCATCCTAAACTTTACAAATACTATTTCAAGTGTAAGAGGAGGAATTAGTTTTGCAAACCATTGGGATGGTAGGTTTATTGCACTTATATTGATTGTAAAGGATCCGAACCCAAAGACAATTAGGTTTGGCAATAGTGCCTCAACAAAGTTTCATGATGAAAACAATATTTTGATTATTGATTTTCTTGAAGCCAATACCGCCATTTTCTTTTCCCTTAGTAATATCATCTTAAGAGAGAAGGTGAGGTTTTTTTCGATCCATCATAGGAGTCTTAAAGAAAGTTACGAAACCTTTTATCTAATTCAAAGAGTACATTGTCAAGAAGAATCATAGTTTACATAATAGAGTTAGGAATGAAAGATAGCACAGACTTTATGAGAATAGATTTTCCTACAGTGTTGAAATAGTGACTCTTCCATGAAGATAAACGAGAATGAGTATTTCCAATAAGAGGAGTAAAAGTTAATTTAAAAGCTCTTTCATGCAGAATGGAAATCTCGAGATATTTGCCAAGATTTCCAATAGGAGAGATTCCTAATTCATTGCTAAGTTATAAGGCTCTATTAATGTTGATATTTTTAGAACAATAGAGTTTTCATTTAGCATTGAGATGTAAAATTATATTTTGCATAGTTACATTTGATTTATACACTGAAATGTGAAATCAAAATTCTTCACACTTCTTGTATGCCAAGAAAAAAAATCTTCAAGCTTGTTTAGCAAACAAGAACACTTATTTCCTTTTTAGATCTACTGATATGCTGTTTGTATTGAAAAACCTCATTCACTCCAACTATAGATGAATTTTACATACACAGAAAATAAATAAATTGTTTTGCATAGAACAAGTTTTGAATGCCTCTTAGAAAATTTAAAAAAGGTCATGTAAAAAAAAAAAAGGCTCCCCATGCCAGAAGCTAGAGAAGTTTTTGAAGGTAGACAATTGCCAGAGTCGTAGAATACTAGGATGAAACATTGGTATGGTATCTATTAAGCATTAGAACTTTTCCAAGTTTCAATGCCTCTCGAAATATGAAATTAGAGATCGATAATCCTACTTAGGGGGGTGTTAGAAAAGTTAAGTCTTGGCTTGAGATTGTGCTTTTCCGGGCAATGGATAAAATGGATACTTGTTAATGCAAAATTTGGTTAAAAAATTATTTAATTTTATATTTTTAATTAATATAATAATATATAAAATACATGTTTTCATCACTCCACCCCCATTTTTTGGTTCACCCGTGGCTTGGCCTTTTTGTTTTTTGTTTTTTTAAACTTGTCTTGATGGATTTGTCTTTGGAGATAGTTAATTTGAGTATTCAATAAATATGTTTTTGTATCGAATTTTTAACTTGTTTAAATTTCAGTTGAATATAATTAATTATAAAAATAGTTGATAATATGATTAATTTTAATTATAATTAATTATATTATAATATAATTTATTTAGATACTGAAATTGATGTTAATTGTATAAATTACTATAAAATATATTACTTTTTAAAATTAAATTATTGATAAAGTTATATTTAATCGTATTATATTTGTTAAACTTTATTTAAGAAGTAAATTATATTATTGAACAGTAAAATTTAATCTACAAGCAATCTTTAAAGGTTTATTTTAAATTTTAATTTTAAATCAATAATTAATTATCAATTTTTTTGACCGCTTGAGTAATTTTTTTAAAAATTGATTATTTAGGCTCCAAAATTAATTATAATGTTAATCCAAACAGCCTATTCATCTCCAAAGCCTTGATGATAGTAAGCCGAATATTACTTCGATAAGGCCCAATGTATAAGGCCTAAAAGATCAACTCTGAAGGCTACGACAGCAAATCAAAATGGGCTGGAAGAATTGGGTTAAGAGAAATGCAGGCCCAAAATAACAAAGCACGTGAGGTTCCCGGCTTTTAGCTATGTGCTGGCCTTTTGTATTGACGAGTTTGAAAGCCTTTTTTCCCCACTTTCACGCCGGACCACGATTCAAATCTCTGCTTAAAGCTAAGAATATAAGCCAACCTAGATTATATAAATTGACTAATATGATTTGAATTAAGTTCAACTCATTTTTATGAATTGGGTTCAATGCATATGAAAATGGCTTTAACTCAATCCAATCCTTGAGTATTGATAGATTGAATGAATTAACCTGTCAACTCTTTGTTTTTTTTAATTCATTAATTTATGAATTTTTTTTAAAAATAAACTTAAATGTTGAGTTTTAATATGATAGTTTTTTCATAATTTATTCTAAATACACTAAAAAATTAAGCCAGCCACGTAAGTCATATCTTATATGATTTATACCCCTCTTTAATGATAAAATTTTTCTTTTTTTTTTAATTTTTTAAAAATAATATAAGTTAAATAGGTCAACTCTAATTTATTGAAATTAACCTATATGATTTATAAGTTATACAGCCTAGGTAAGAAAAAACTTATTCTTATTTGAATTACTTGTTTTTCAATATGATTAGTTATTTGAGCCAATTCATATAACTTGAAGCATATTACAGTTCTAACTCTATTATAAGAGTTATCCACATTTACTATTAGGCAATGCTTTGAATGAAAAGATAGTTATGCACAATTTAAAAAGAAAGTTATTTTTATTTTTATCCTTTCTTCTATCTGGGCCAACGAGGTTGTAAGCTCTTTAGATTTACTCCCACCATAATATAATGTAGTGTATCATGACTAATGCCAGTATGAGTTGGATCAGTAAAATGTACTAATTTCTTATAATATAATGAATCAATGTTTAAATTTTTGTTGAAAGATGCCCCTATATTAATTGTAACTAGATAGACAATCTTATGAATTTATACAGTTAGTTATAAAATTTTCAATATGTTACCCTTTCTGTTAAAAAATATAAGTTTTTTTTGAGAAGTTGAATGTTAAAAAATATAAGACATTTTTAGTCTTTCGAGATGTAATCATTGCATTTTTTTTTCAAAGATGCTCTTATTGATAATAATTTTATATTTATTATAAGGTGTTTCATAGAGATAAATATTAAAAGATAGGGTTAGTTGAAAAACAAGTAACTACTTTATTGGGGTGAGATTTTTTAAACAAAAAAATATTTTAATAATATTTGTTTTTTATTTATAAATTAAAATCATGGTGTTTTCGCAACTCTATGTTTAGATATGACATGAATTTAGATTTAAGTCAAATATCTTTTTTAGACATTTAAAAATTTATTGATTTGGAAATCCAAATTTTATCCTTTTTTATATAAATTTAAATTTTATCTTAATTCATTCATAATTTAAAATCTTTTTTAAACCTTATAATTTTAAATTTTTATATGCATTTTTGAAACACTACCAAATAGCAATAACTTTTGTTATTTAAACTATTTAAATAAAATTTTTTATTTAACCTGCCTATTCAAATTACCAAATATTACCTGATATCATATTATTAATGCATTAATAACAAGGCACGTAATTGTGATTTTTCCCAAAATTTTTGTACCGAAAAAAGGCTCCAGTGCTCATGTCTGGGGCGATGAAACCAGAGCAAAGAGAAGCAGCAGCTCAACAGCGTACAACTATCGCAAAGCAAAGCCCCCTCGTATTCTCCGCCTCCTCCATCTTCTTCTCCTTTCGTTTCCATATTCTTTCCTTCATTCCCATTCTTATTCACTCAATTCCTCTCTGTTGTCTCTCTCACATTACCACATTCATCTTATATTCCATCTCCGCCATGGCTTCTCTCTTTCTTTCCTCCTCCTTCGCCACCACCTCCCCTACCGCCTCCATTTCTTTCTCCTCTTCTCTTTCTACTTCCCTCTCATGGCGTAAATTCACCGCATTACCTTCCAAGCCTCGCCGAAGAGTCTTCTCCATTCAAGCCAAGATCCGGGAAATCTTTATGCCTGCCCTCAGCTCCACCATGACAGAGGGGAAGATTGTCTCCTGGGTTAAATCTGAGGGGGATGTTCTCTCCAAGGGCGAGAGCGTTGTCGTGGTTGAGTCCGACAAGGCTGACATGGATGTCGAGACTTTCTACGATGGGATTCTCGCCGCTATTGTAGTTGGTGAGGGCGAGACCGCTCCTGTTGGTGCTCCCATTGGACTGTTGGCCGAGACGGAAGAGGAAATTGCTGAAGCCAAAGCCAAGGCAGCCAAATCAGGCTCTTCTGCCCCCGCCGCCGTAGCTGCTCCTGTTGCTTCCACTCCTCCGCCTAGCACTTCGAATCCTGCTCCGGCGATCGATCATCAGTCTCCTCCGCCGGCCAAGGTGGCTTCTGCTGGACCAGGAAAAACCGTGGCGACTCCTTATGCAAAGAAGCTTGCGAAACAGCACAAGATAGATATTGGATCGGTCGTTGGCACTGGTCCTTTTGGGCGGGTTACTCCTGCTGATGTGGAGGCAGCTGTTGGAATCACGCCTTCCAAGAGTAATGCGGCTAATACTGCTGAGCCAGCTCCGGTGGCCGCTCCTCCACCAAAAGCTGCTGTTCCCGCTGCTCCCGCGGCTTCTCTACCTCCAATTCCTGGTTCTACAGTTGTTCCTTTCACAACAATGCAAGCTGCGGTTGCGAAGAACATGGTGGACAGTCTTACTGTGCCTACATTCCGAGTGGGGTATCCTGTGAAGACTGACGCACTTGATTCTCTATATGAAAAGGTATATACGCTGAAAGCATTCTTTCGTTCGTGTTGCTAGCTGAATACGGGGTTTCTGATGCAAATTTATATATTTCCTATTTAATCCTTAGGTTAAACCAAAGGGAGTGACTATGACGGCCATTCTAGCAAAGGCCGCAGCAATGGCTCTTGTTCAGCATCCAGTAGTAAATGCAAGCTGCAAAGATGGGAAGAACTTTACCTATAACAGTAGCATAAACATAGCTGTTGCTGTGGCAATCAATGGTGGTTTAATTACACCTGTTCTTCAGGATGCGGATAAGGTCCGTGATTCATTATGAAACCTGATTTCTAAATCAAAACTTTCACTTGAGCATTTGTTTCTGTTATCAACTTCCCATTGGTTTTCAAATGCCAAGTTTTTTGTTTTCTTGTTTTGGTACTTCAGTTGGATCTCTATCTTCTGTCTCAAAAGTGGAAAGAGCTAGTTAACAAAGCTCGAGCAAAGCAGTTGCAACCTCATGAGTATAATTCAGGTTTCATTAGGAAGTTATTTGTGTGTCTTTTCTAGTGCTCATTCGAAGGGATTTGAATCTTTCAACCTAAGTTAACCTGCGCCCTTCTGTCCACAGGAACTTTCACGCTTTCCAATTTGGGTATGTTTGGAGTCGATAGGTTTGATGCCATACTTCCTCCAGGGCAGGTACGTAGTGACATCAAGGACTTCAACCCATGACTTTTATAGATTCCGTACTTCATTTTGTGGTATTTTTGTTTTTTTTTTTTTTTTGGCTGAAATTTGCCATTTACTTGTTAGGGTGCTATCATGGCTGTTGGAGCATCAAAGCCTACTGTTGTGGCTGATGCAGATGGATTCTTCAGTGTGAAAAATAAAATGCTGGTGAGTTATTTGCTTATAATTAAATGTTTTATTGTGCTATTGTTCACTTATTTCACTTTATGCTTAGAGCAACAAATTCATCTAGCGGACCTTGAAGTGCTTTTTGACAGAGATCGGCTTCTTAGTCAATAAAATAAGTGGTTAACAATGGATGATAGGTTGAAACAAATGGAGTGATAAAAAACCTAACTAAACTCTCCAGAACCTTGAATATACCCATTTATCTCACAACAACTACTCTCAAAAAGTTGTATATTCTCCGCACTCTATGAGAAATAGTTTCACTCAAAAAGCACAATCTTCTTTTCTAGAAGTTTGCACTCTCTTCTTTGCTAGCTTGTTTCTAAAAGGGCAGTAATGTGTTGACACTTACAGCCGCTTATATCTATGTGGTTTTAATGGTTCATGTCCTAGGCTGGCTTAGATAGAGAACTAGAGTGAGAAATTACTGTGATTACTAATGATGGAAGTTGCAACACATTCAAGTGTCGAGAAACAACTTGAGTTTCTTGGACTCACATAAACAGATCTACATCCTGCCTTGAAGTATGTGAGGCTTTAGACAATACTTGGCCAAAGTTATTTGCTCGACTGGAAAAATTCATCAAGTTCAAGCAAATTTTTGGACACTTGCCAGTTGTGGAGGATTTATAACAGATTGTCTTCAATATCATTTTTCTTGACAATATTGTATTATATTGTCACAAACAAAATGGTACTGAACTTCTACATTCTAAATTTAGTTTGTCTGCAATGAATTTGATCTTTGGGTAGGCGAAATTCACTTCACCAGCCACTCTGAACTATGGTCACTTCCTTATCCGAACTGAACTAACTAAGCAAACTTGCAATCAAATAGTCTCCTTGAAGGTCAATGTCATGACCTTTATCTCCAAGTAACTGTGTAATTACTAATCATAACACATAACCTGTGAGAGATCTTTGCTTGTTCAAGTCCCTTGTGTCATCTGAGTGAACAAATCCTTCCAATCTTCTCTAGTTCTGATTAAATTCAAAACTCAGATCTGCAACACGTTTTACATACCGCAGAATCTACTTCAGTGCCTTGCCTTATGTCTCCTCAGGGTTTCCCATCTAGCAGGTAACTACGCTGACCGGTGAGTGCACCAGCTATGTCATGTTCTCTAGCGGCTTGGCATGGACAAAACAAAAACTGAGCAAACCATTAGCAGCCTGAGAAAACCAGTACTGAGGAAAATATCTGACTTATACGTTAACAAAGCCTCTAGCTATCGCCAAGTTCAAAAATTGCTTGATCTAGATTGCTTTTTATAGGAATTAAGTTTCGCCCTTCAAGGTAATTTTGGAGGAAGGAGGAGGTACAAGTATTGGTTGAAGCTTAATATAATTCAAATTGAGATGGAGATTTTGTTTGTGACAAAAGTGTTGTGACAGTGGGTAGTGGTTACTATATCTTTTGACTCTGCAGTTGGCGTCATTTCCTGGCATATTAATGTGTTGCAATTTCTATCATGAGAGTCCACTCAGATTTCTTCATTTCAGTTTGGTGCAGTGGATGGCCAATTAAAGCCACATACCATGAATATTCCACTCAAATTTCTTGATTTCAGTGGGGTCTAGTGCATGGCCAATTAAATCCGCATACAGGATGCAGCTAGAAAGTAAACATATTTCCATAAAAGGGAATTGTGGGTATGGGCATTGTCAAGACAAGAAGAGTCAGTTATTTTTGTGACCAAAAAGGTATATTATTAGAGAGGTCCGCAGAAATGTGTGACATGAAAAATGCAAAACCTGTGAGGATGCTATTCGCTGCCCATTTTGGGATGTTCACATTTATGTCACCATCAATAGATAAAAAGATAATTCATGCCCTGAGTTTTGAATGTTGTCCAGACTTTTTCAATATGCTTTTGTTGTGATGTGGTTTGTTTGTTGGCATGCCTATTCTTGAGAGTTCTCTTGCCATTTTTTTTTGGGGCTCCCGTAGTGTCTTTTATGTCTCAGCTGACTATTGATTTGGTTGATCTTGGACTTTTTACTAGCTCCAATCTACATCTTCTCAACATATTATAGCAAATACTTTTAATGATAAGCGCTTGATGAGCTCATTCCTTTCTTCCCTGCTATGTTGCTTGATGTAAGTAGATGGTAGGACTTGTTTTTCCCCCTAGCCATCAAGGATATAATTACTCGATTGTATTATTCATCCAAAGAGAACATGTATGCTGCAATTTCTCAAGTTATTTATTTTCTAGAATCTCTACAACGATTCATGAAAATGTATTTGGTTGTGGTTGTCCAGTTAGAGCTTATAGCTTGTAATGTCCATAAATCATCATTTTGTAGAGGGTTCAATTCCCTTCGTAGTCAATGAACGATATGTTCTTCTAGTAGAGGTTGCATTGCAAATAACAAATCCAATTTGCTAAGGCTGAAAATTGTTTGCTAATATTTTTTAAGCACTTTCCAAATTCAACTATCGCACTCTTATCTAGAGGTAATTGTCATCTTGATCTTGTTGCTGATGATGGTATTTAAGGGTTAAAATTTATATTTTTTGCGTGCTTTATCTGCCACACTTATAGCGACCAGTTTTCTTTATTCTCAAGTTTGCATGAATAAAAAATCCATGATCTCTCTTCAGAGTTCAAAAACTATGTTTCATGGTCTGGGAAAAAAATAGGTTCTTGCTCGGCAACCCAAGAGCTTTGTGGACGTTCTTCTTGTGCTTGTTTCCTACCATAGCTGCAAATGTTTCTAACTTCCAACGATGTTTTGCATAATCAGACTGCTGTATTCAGATTGCATTGTACAATCTCATATGGCTTGCTTTCATATTGTTAGGTTATGTGAATGGATTTGAGTTGATGTGGAAAGTCTTATATCATAAAGTTAGGTTTAATAATTAATGCACAATAAAGGAAAAAGGCCTATAAATTTGAGTCTTGAAGCTTTAAGTTAAGATGTGATGTCTTTCTCTTAATCTTGGTTTTGTACAACATTTATCGCAGTTTACAAGCAGCTAAATGCTTGTACAACATGTTGGGACCATCTCTGAGGAAATTGTAAATGTAAATGACGTTTTCTCTGGATATGATTCTCATGGGCTCAAATTTTTCTTTTGCAGGTGAATGTAACAGCTGATCACCGAATAATCTATGGGGCTGACTTGGCTGCATTCCTTCAGACGTTCTCAAAGATTGTTGAAAACCCAGAAAGCTTGACTTTATAGTCTCTCATCACCTTGACATTATTATCTGAGCTTTCCACCATTTGATCCCAAGTCAACGAGATCTGTTCAGCAAAGTGCTAACATCTGGTTCATACTTTATAGCTTCTACTTTGCCTAAGCTTCAGGAGCTATTTTAATTTTATTAGTAACGTTATGGATGGATTTTGAAGGAGAGAAGATAGCTTTGAATTTTTTCTGCGTGAAAAGTGTTGTAAACAGTAATTTGTGATTAATAAAAACAAGGTTCGAGCATATTTAAAAATTGTTTTCCCTACACGGAAAAAGGAATAACATTTGTAATGTATGGACTTATCTTGACTCAACCTTGTGAACGAGAAATAACTGATGTACTTCTGCTTTAAAAAATAATATAAAATATGGTCTTGTTGATCAGACGATCACTGACCAGTAATCACTCACTCAAGGCTACTTATCTTTATAGTCTTTTGAATTTTGTTCGGCTACTCAAGCTTGTGAGGCGTAGCCTTCTTTTATAATTTATCCTCCTGGCGCTCTTTGTTTACCAGGCTTGTAATTATACATTTTTTTTTTTCAATGAAACATTGTGGGCGATAATAGCCATAATTAAATTAATTTTTTTTTCTCTTTTATTGCTCAGCGGATGACTCTCAATGGAGATTCGAACTTTAATTCGTAATGTTGTGAGGAATTAGATTTTTTCACTGGACTCAACACCGGTTCATCAAATTAATCTACTTTTAGTTTATATATAAGAATGTAATCTAAAATTTGCTTTTAGTGATTCAATTTTATTTTTTTGAGCCAAGCCAAGATTCGGTTAATTTGATCCAGTTTTCATGACCCAGAAATTGATTAATGATAAATGATAGTAGACAACATAATATTTATCTCAGCTTCTATATAATGAACATGGAATCCATTTCCCTTCATATACCAATCAAAAAGTCCAAACGTAAATGCATCTTCAATTCTTCATATAAAAACCAACCAAATGGAAGAATCTATACAGGAGTCACTGTTATACAGGACATAGGTATCACTGCCATCTTAAATATATACAGAGAACATTCTATTTCTTCTCTCCTTTGTTCTTAGGGTTGAGTTTTCTATTTTTCTTCTTTTGGAAGTTTGGCAAAGCATGAAACAACCCTCCTTGAACAGAAGAGATAAAGAGATATCTATCTATCTATCTATCTATCTATATATTCACCAGTCCAACGTAATATTTCCAGAAAGGTATAGTTTATCAATGTATTCTATAACTGGAACTGAGGCATTGATGTACCTCATCATTTTCTTCTCAGCTGACTGATCTGCGATTATAATAATATTAAGTTTTGGTCTCTTTGAAACAGGAAATTTAAACGAAACTAGAAAATTTTCTTCGTCAGACCTGAGCTATAAAAGAAATGTAGATCAAGCTAATTATAAAGAAACAACAGGAACATATTAGACGCACCGTTTTTTTCCCCCAATAAGCCTCACTTCTTGTTTATATTTGTTATTTGTTAATAAATTGCAATTAACTTGGGCTACCTCTATTTTTGGTGAGCACAAGGAGTAGACTTTTCTAGTCGTTGAGATTATGTCCCTCGAGTATTGACAGCAAATGGTAGACTCATTCCAATTAAGTTGCTATATACATATTCTAAAATACTATGACGTGATATCTAATGATGATATGGTTGATCAAATATAATATCTCCAAGGAGTAACAGTCTATCACTCTTCAAACTGTGCACGTCCCTCAATTTATCCCTCTTCAACTGTACGTTTTACATTTATTTCTTGAATGCAAAGGGTTCGGATCTTATTCTCCCTTTTAGTCTAAATAATTAGGCATTTTAGACAAGTTTCTAGCCATAATAAGTTGAATTAGACACTTCCTTGTTTTGAAGAACCAAGACTCATGCAGGTGACCTCAGCGTTACGATTAAAACTGCTTCTTGCCTCGCAATGCAAAATTTGTATAAATGCTACTCATAACTACCAATATGAAGTGTCAAATTTTCAGTCTATAATATATTGTGATGTATGTCTGTATAAACTTCACAGTTCAAACACATCAAACACTGAACAAGATAAGATGATAAAGACTTACTTGTTTCATTAAGCCTCACCAAAAGTTGGTCTCTTGTTGGAAGTGCATACATGCCAGCAGCTACAGCCGCTCTTATTGTCCATGAATGATAAGGAGCACAAACCTGTGCATAGGCTGTTGACGCTGCTTCTTTTAGAGAACTGTCGCTGGAAATGTCAAAATCATAAATTATGTGTCAACACCATCCGCCAACCACTTGAAAATAACCGAAAATGATATGGAAAAGACGACACTATCTTTATACACTACTCATTATTACTGCATAGAAGGAGCTTAGACTTACAAACGGTGACACTATACAGGGTAGGTCTACTTTCCCAGTTATCTAAACAATCCAGAATGAGAGAACCACGGAGGTAGCGTGATTAACTATGACGCAAATTTATTCTCTGTACTTCTTATACAAGATAAGGACACATACAACTTCATAGTGACGAAATTGTTTTTCAAACAAGAGTTCTGTCGTAAAACCATGAAAGTATAAATTCAGTGTAAAAACTCAGGATTGGAGGATCTCTAATATTTATCCCATTTGTTTCAGTCGTCATGAGCCGTACTGAAATCCATTGATCTAACATACTTACTAACAGTGCACTCATGGATGGAACTGGTTTAATGGGAAGTCAGCGCTTGAACGAATGATAGGAGCAAATGATTAGAAATTAAGTTATAAGCCTTGGCAAGCGCATAACGTGTCATTCATTTTTTTTTTTTTTAAACTACATTATGTAGGACCTGTGCTCTGCATAAAGTTTAAGGTGAGCCACACTATTCATGGCTTATGAATAGTATAACTTCTTTTAAAATTTATATTGTATATAGATTGAAGTAATATTTGGTGATGCAAAAAACACTTTCCATTTACATGTTGAATATAGTGAAAAATGGAGGGCACTGTTAGCATGCCTTTTCCCATTCCTAAATGTTACTTCTTTTCATGGAGTTAAGGAACCGCCGAAAAGAATTACACATTTTATCCACACACACACACACACACAAAAACAAACAAAACAAAACAATAGCATTACTCACAGTCAATTCACCATCTTTCTATGTTTTAGACCCAACAAAAAAAAAAAAGAAAAAGAAAATTCTCAAAGATAAGATACATACTCAGTTAACAAAAACTGTTTGAATATAGCTTTGACAAGGTCAAGACCCTGCCGAACTCTGCGTAGACAACGTGAAAGGCTTCCTTGTGTTTTCACAGTCCCATTTGCAACATCAAGGTCAATTATATCCCGTAGAGTTTCATATGTCTTTGATGCATCCTTGAGCGCATGAAGCTGAACAATATCATAAGAAACGGTGTTAATGGTCTGTGATGAAGATCCGTGAAATTGAAATGATACTGCTAAAATGAACCAACTACGCGTAAAAGGATAAGTAACTAAACAAACCAAAGACCGGACAAACTTCAAGAATGAAGTGTAAATTGCCATGATAACAGCTATATACAACCGTTAATAAAAATGAGTAAACAGGAGGGCTACAAGTTATAGGTATAACATAACTAGAGCCTTGTGAAACAATTTGAAAAAAAATTCCGTATCAGAGCTCAGAAAGGGATCGCAATTCTCGATATCTCTTTTTAGAAATGCACATATTGTTCTGATACATTGGAACTTCTGACCTTCTGGGTCAGGTTCATAATAAAAAATTGCATTTCATAGCAAACAAAGCAAAAGCTATAACTAATGGTTGCAAGCAACATCTAGGCTTAGCCACCACACATGATGAGATGGCAAAGATAACGTCAGTCCATGTTACATTTCCCGCAAAATATTGTTACATAAATCAGAAACTGTCAGGAGTTGGATACATATTTTGAAGCACAAACGCTTTATAGGATAAATCAATGTTCCATCAAAGACTTAAATTTCCATTACGAAAAGAAATTTTATTGCAACTTAATATAAGACAAATAGGCTTCGACATAATGTGCAAATTCGAAGCAAAAAAAAAAAATCCTACCTCAGTTGGCACAACATTATCTAGATCACTGATAAATAAACAGACCAGAAAAAAACGAAAAAGAAAAGGCAAGAGAAAAATCTTGAAACCTTGCAACCATAATCTAATGTCGATACAAAACATTCAAACTTCTAGTTACAAACACAAACGAAGAACATCAAATCAAGAAGAAGTCTAATCGAAAGGCCAAAAAGGAAAACAAACCTTGGAGATGTACTCCAATTCAGCGAATTTGAAAACGAGGCCAAGTGAATTAAAGAGAACAGAGACGTGAGAGCAAGCATGGCAAAACTTGTCGAGGCGAAGCTCTTGTTGATCTGTATTCCCATTATTCTCAGAGCCACTGAACTTGGCAAGGTCCTCAAAGGCCTCGGCTATGGCGGATAGAGGTGCGACCGCCATCGTCGAAGGCGGTTGTGCACACACGCCTTCGCTATGAACCATTGCTGGGATCGGGATTCCGTTGTTGGTAGATCGAAAAAACTGCAGAATCGTTGAAGTTAGAAACGTCAAAAGAGAAATGGAACAAGGTAACTTTAATTTCGTGGTGCCTCTACGTGTTACTCCTTAGAAAGAGAGAGAGAGAAGGAATAAACCGATAGTCCGTCTCCTTTACGCAGTTTCTCGGTTCGCGCCATTTCACCATGAACGTTGGTTATATTGGGCTAGTTGCGTCCTCTTCATTGTTGGGCCAGCCTAGTTACGGTCCATTAGGCTGGCCCATTTTATCAGGGTTGCAACAAGATTTTGCACCAGAAACATTGTCTTTCGCCCCCCGGGGGGGGGGGGAATCTAACAGTAATAGTGAAAAGGAGTGTTGGGATTTCAATGTTAAGCAAATGCTTTCTGTTTTACAGTTCATGTATTAATCTTATGATTAAATTTATTTTCACCAAATAATTATATTTTTACTTATTTTTAAGAAAAAAATGGGTCAATACCCAAAAAAAAAAAAATCTCTCTCTCGCACATGCATATTTACACAAGTTTATTTTGTATTTTACGTGAGCTTGGGAAAATTAAATATCAAATTTCACTAATATTGAGAGGCCATTGGTTGCGCTGGATCTAAACTATTTCTTTCTATTTTTAAAAGATCAGTCAGTTTAAAATGAATATAATTTTCTGTTACAATATTTTGTTTCATTTCTTTTTCGCTTTGGTATCTCACGTCTTTAACTTAGGCTAATCCAATTACTAGCTTGTAGGTACTTCTCTGATGGGCATCTTCTCACTGAAAATTGAATCGCTACCCAAGGCTCAAATTTGAACCTTTTTATTAATTTGGACCTACCCTTTAGCTAATTGAATCAAGCGACCGGTGATTTTACTCACAATATTTTCCATTAACTTGATTTTATGTTGAACGTTTTTAATCATTGGATACATTAGGAGTCGTAGTATGTATGAAAAACGCCGTGATCTTGATGTTGTACATTTTATATTAGTTGCAACCAGTCTTTTAGATTGTTTTTTTTTTATGAATATTAAGATCTTATGTGATGTTTATTGTTTTAGATTTTTCAATATTTTTCAGTTATTATTTTTTGTATATTTAATTTAATTTAATTGATATATTTGTACCTATAAATAAAAGATATTTCAGTTGTATTTAAATTAATTATCTTCGTCTCTCTCATTCTCTTCTTCTAAGTTTCTCTATTCTCTTTTATTCGCCAGGAGGGCACCATTATAATTATTGAATTAGAGATTATTGGAAGCATGCTCACTTGAATATTGAAAAAATTTCTATCATTCATGTGTTCTTGTTATTTTATATGTTATTTATTTATTGGATTTTTTGTTCAATTGCTTTCTTCCTCTCTCAGTTAATCAAATAATTACATATTATATGCCACATCCAAGATTAGGAGGCACAATTTAATTTTAAAATAATAGATCTTGAAATTATCCACACATAACATAGAGTGGATCTAAAAGTTATTCACACAAAATATAAAGTGGATCCTAAAATTATCCACATATAATATAGAGTGAAGCTTGAATTTATTCACATGAAAATACAAGGTAGATCTCAAAAATATCCACATATAATATAAAATAAATTTTGAAGATATCCACAGAACTTAAAATGGATATTAAAATTATATATCCACACAATATAATGTAGATCCTAAAGATATCTACATTTATTTGTTTATTTAGTTATCCTATATGCCTTCAATTCCTTATTTTAATTCATTGTTTATATATATAATTTATTTAGCTATCTATATATATAATTTTTAGAAAAACATATCTTGAGGTTATTTATATAAAATAGATCATGAAGTTATCCATATAAAAGATAAAGTAAATCTTGAAGCAAGTTATCCATATAACATAAAGTAAATCTTGAAGATATCTACATTCAAATATTTATTTATTTTATAATTTTTTTATTTTATAATCGAGAATCATAACTATCATATCTCGATTTGTTTATTTTATTTATGATAATCATATCTCTATTTCCCATTTTTGATTATATAATTTGAATTACTAGCGTTATATATATAAACACACATGTGTGCGTGCGATTGTTTTTAATTTTTAGAAAAAACATAATTACAGGTCCTTATGATTTTATTCAGTTTTAAAGAATTAGTAATTCATGCCAAGCTTGATGGGTCTCTAGAAAAAAAAAAGTTAGGGTTAGGCTTAACTATGTGAACTTTTTTAAAAAGATAAAATATTTTAAGTTCAATTCGAATAAGCGTGGCTCGAATTAAGCCTAGTCATTGAAATTAACAGCTTTATATGCATATATAGTTGGTAATTTTGACCAAGCCTGAACTTGACAGAAAAAAAATTAGGACTGAGCTTAATTATATGGGCTTTTTTAAAGGATAGAATATTTTAAGCCCTATCTGAATAAGCCCAATTTAAATAAATCTGTCATACCTGAATTACCAGCTTTAAGTTTTGTTTTTTTCCCTGTAGTTTTTTTAGTGATTTCAGTCTCTATAATTTCATCAAGATTGGGTGACGTTTGTTACTTAGGTTTTTATAGTTTTAATGTTTTCAATGTTTTTTTTCTATCTCTATAAGAATTAAAAATATTGAAAAAAAATTATAAGGATTAAAACAAAAATCTAACAAAATTATGGGGATCAATTTATGATCATAATAAATTATATGGCTGTAAGCTATATTTAATTTATTATCATATGAGCATAAGTCATATTTAATTTTATTATTGGATGGCTAGATGCTATATTCAATTTTCTTATTATAGGGTGAGAAGCCATATTTGATTTTGTTATCATTTGATCAGAAGTCATATTTAATTTTATTATTAGATGGCTAGAAACCATATTTAATTTTGATATTAGATGCCCAAAACCCATATTTAATTTGATTATTAGATGGCTAGAAGTCATATTTAATTTTATAATTTTATAGCTTGGAGCCATAGTTGATTTTGTTATTATATAGTCGAAAACCATCCCAGTTTTGATGACTATTCTATGAAAGGATAATTTTATGATCATAATGACTGATATAAATTTTGTGAAATTTTGATTGGTATTTTGATTATTAATTTATTTGTCTTAACTAACATGCTATCAAAGCTCTAAAGGCTAATAGTTTAAAAAGAATTGTCAAGTTTAAAAGATTATTTTCTTATAATACTAAAAATTATAGCTAATAGAGTTTATGTTATAGAACATGTAGCCATATAGATACAAGGTCAATTATTATGCCTTAAAAGACTATAAGGTGTTGAGAAAATATTAATGAGTGATTATGAGAAGCCATTACAGTAATGCTTTGAGAATCAAATTGGATGTTAAACCGAAAAGGCTAGTGGTTCACGGTTTACCTAGTCCAACTTAAAAATTAAATTAAAAGAAATATATATGTATATATAATAAATATAAGAAAAAAATAAAATTGCTACATAACTTGAAAATATGAAAATTGGGCTGGTTTTTAAGTAGTTCACAGCCTGTTAAGAGCAGTCCAATCTAGTCCAATAACTAAAACAACTAGATAGTTCAAATGTAGTTATTAAGGTGACTAGCCAGTGGTCCAACTAGGTGGATCATTCGGTCCAGTTTGGTTTTGTAATATCCTTAGTTTTAAATTCAGATTAATTAAGCTTAAATAGATTAGTAAAGTGAATCTTTGAGGTATGTGGCTAGAGAGGCTTAACGGGCGTGTTTGATCTCGATTTTAGTACCAAACCCGAGTCTGAAGGAGAATCGGGTTATCTGGGGATAGAAGAGGAAGAATTTTTGAAATAAGTGGTTCTGTGCCATGCATTGTAGTGTGGGGTTGGTCCACCGCGGTGCATGCATGCTAACACGCTTGGGAGAAGCTCTCTATACCATGCGCCACGGTAGACGCGGCGCATTGTGCGTCCGCTACAGCGCATGGCCAAAATTTTACAGTATTAAGTCACAAATTTGAAGTGAAAATGAAGAGAAAACAAAAGAGAACGAAGGAGTAATGAAAAAGCTGAGCTAGGGTTTGAAGAAATTGATTGTTGGGAGTAATTTGGAGCTTATAAACACTCAAGGTAAGCTTTCTAACTTAAATCTTCCTCTCTTCTTCCATTTTCTTGATGGTAGAGGTTATGGTTTGATTTCTAATGGTGATTTTTAGTTTATAGAAGTTATAGGTCCGAACCCATTGACTTAAATAGAGTTAATGGAGGTAGATTGAACTGATATTTATGATTTTATAATGATTGGTGGTTGGAGGACATTAAATGTTCGAAATTCTCATAAATTTAGTGGTAGGAAATAATGTGGCCTCATTAATACCCATTTAAGAGGTTAATGTTGTAAATGAGAGTTAAAGGAAGCTAAAAAATTTGTAGGTTCTTCTATATGAGTTAAGAATAAAGCTTGAGTATTAAGAAATGATGAAAATGCTAGTGAAAAATAATTCAAAATAGATATTGATATTTTACATGATAAATGCTTGTATTGTAATTACCATTGACACCATTCAAGCTTCTTTATATAATCAAGATGATCATATTAAAGAGGCTAGCATTTTAGAAGAAACCAAGACATAACTAGCTTTAAGTTCTTAGAAAAGGATTAAGTACATGATAACAATAAAGAGATTTTGAAAAGTTATGACAATATAAGAAATGATAGAACTAAAAAGAATAAAGTTATTGACAACACTTTTAATGAGAATGAAAAATTACAATCAAATGAGAATCTTGATATATAGGATGTGGATGAAAAACTAATCAGATTAGAGAAAAAGACACAATACAAGTAGAATTACATTATATTCACTTGTTCATGTATGGAAGTTATGAACTTATAGTTCAAGTACCTGAAGTGTGATATACACTAGCATTCATGCGAAAGAGAAATATGAGATGTCACATGAAAAGCTTGGCTTTCAATATAAGAATGTCTTGCAAAGATTAAATAAATGCATTAATATACTATCTCATGGTGGATGAAATTATATTTGAACATGTTATTAGTTTGACAGTATAGAAATTTGACATGTGTCTAATAAATGATGGCATATTTATATTGCTTTTTGTACATTGGTATTTTATTGAAAATCTCATAAGGATTCAAGATGACAAAAAGTTATAAAGATTCTTAAGAAATTTTCTTTTTCATTTGTTCATATAATTATATACATATTAATTTGCATCAAAATTGATTGATTTAGCATTATTGAATATTTTGAAAAGTTTATATAAACACTTGATTGTTAATGAAAGATGTTAAAATATTGGGTAATTATATGTGAATTGAGATCATTTTTTTAAAGAGGATAATGAAATATGGTCTTGAAGCACCATATATAAATGCTTTCATATCACAATTTATGATATTGTATTGATTCCCAATGAAATTATGCATTTAATATGATATGTTTGAGAAATCATTGTGTGTGATTTCTTTACTAAATTTATTTAGGATCAAGATTAATTAATCATGCATGTGTTATACATGTATAGTTTGAACCACATGAGTTGATCTTTAAGAGGTTATTTGTTTTTGAAAATACATGTATATCCAAAATTGTTTTGCTACTCCCACAAAATATACAATAACTAAAAAATGTATTCATGTTCAAAAGATATGTATTGTTATATAAAAAAAAAGATATGTATATAAAATATGTTTTAAAGGTAGTGATTCATATATATATATATATAGTATAGACATAAGAGATATCAACTCACAATGATGTTGGCAACAACAATATTCAAGAATTGATGCAAAAATTCATATTACAATAACTCAAAAGGACTCAAGAACAATGAGTGATATCGTCAATCAATAATAATAAAAGTTATATTGTGCTCTTTTTTTCTTAACTAAGATTTTGTTCTATTAGATTTTCTTAATAAGGTTTTTAATGAGACATTTTCAGTGAGCATGAAGATATTGTGTACTTGATCTTTTTCCTTCACCATGTTTTTGTCTCATTAGGTTTTTTTTTAATAGTTTTAATGAGACACAATATCAGGGGAGTGTTATGAACATTATGATATTATATGAATGTTTGTTATCTTAAATTTTCTAATATTTTTTGATTACCATAATATTTTTAATAATTATTATCTTGTATATTTTATTTAATTTATTTAATATGTTTGTGTCTATAAATTGAATGCACCTCAGTTATATTCTACAACTAAGATGAGAAGACTCTTAATTCTCTCAATCTCTTGTTCTCTCCTAATTTTCTCTATTATTTTCTCCTCTCAATCCTTATTTTCATAACGTTTGACAATTTGCCATAAAGTAGTCACATTGAAAACTAGTCCATATATCTTTTTCTTATTTATAATAGAAATACATCGGAACATACAATATGCTAATAACATTAGTGCGATTTTATTGTATGCTTATCACTTAGCTAACTAATACTATATATACTGCCCCAGCTAATACTGTGTCTAAATTATAGATCCAGAATCTAGCTAGACCTTGCTTGCAAGCTCAACTCCTTCGTGTTCTTCCCTCTCTTCTGAACTACTAGTATCAATACTCTTACTGTGAACTTGAACGGGCTTGTAAGTATAGCATTTGGCGCACCACAAGTAGAAGATAAGGTTAATAAGTTGGAGCAAAGTGATGATCCAGTAAAAGTACTCCAACCTGCCCTTGTTCAGGTTGTTATCGGGAAGCCAGTTCGATCCATCCGGACGTCGAGTGAACCTGTGAATCAAGGTAACCAGCAGAGTGCTGCCATAGTTTCCGACGGATATGACGGCCCAGAATAGAGCCATGGCGGTGCTCCTCATGCTTTCCGGCGACTGATCGTAGAAAAACTCCATATGCCCTATCGACATGAACGCCTCAGCCACACCGTGAAGGCTGTACTGAGGCAGCAACCAGAACACCGAGATGGGAATGGTGGCATGAGAATGATCGGCGAGGCCGTGGGCGAAAGCGGCATTCTTGCGCTTGATCTCGACGAAGCCGGCGACAAGGGTGGCGAGGGTGGAGACGACGAAGCCGATGCCCATGCGGTGGAGGAAGGAGATACCACGGTCGAGGCCGGTGAAGCGACGAGCGATAGGGATGAAGACGCGGTCGTAGAAGGCGGTGGTGGAGAGCATGGAGATGATGGTGAAGACGGACATGGAGCCGGCGGGGATCTGAAAAGAGCGAGTGAGGTGCCTGTCCATGGTCTTGGCTTGTTGAAGAGAAAAGGTGCCTTGCTGGGCATAGGCCGTGATGAGGAGGATGCCTGAGGCCCATATTGGGCCCATTCTTATAAGGGACTTCAATTCTTCTACTCTGTGAACTGTGCTTAGCCTCCATGGGTTTGGGCTTTTCACGTTGTCTCCTTCTGTTGCAATAGCTGCCTTGTCCAAAAACCTACATTACGCTCCATGTTTAGAAGAATTAGAAAAATACTAATCATCTTGTAACTTACTGACATAAAATTCACGTTACTAGTGAGAAGTAGAGGGTTCAGTCCCGCTAGCTTCAAACGTTTAGTTTGTCCTATGTACTAAAAAGAAGGAACCATAAAGGTGTCTTTGTCACTTGAATCGGGCCTAGGCCCAATTAAAAACTGATGGGCTATTGGGCCTAATATAGGTTAGCGAGTGTGATCCAAAACTTTATCATGCGAAAAAACTTTGCCATATAACATGACCATATAGTATGGAAAGAAAACAAACTTGTTTGTGATAGTGATGAATTTTTATAGGACTCAGATATATGAGCAAGATGATACAACTTGTTGCGGCAAAGCTAAGTAATTAAGCACCTGAATTTGGTGCACATCCATGTGTGCGTCCTATTTGTAATATACAAATAAAATATGAATGATTTATATATGATTTTGTTTATGTACTTCTTCTGATCTTAATTATAAGACAAAGTTTTAAAACTTTTTTTTATCCTAAATATATGGCAAAGACGTAGTAGTTATTTTTTCCCCAATATTGTCCCCTTTAATTGCATCAAGTTATTAGCAAACTTTTAATTTCTGATTAACACATTTTATTGTAGTCATTAATTTATGTGAAGGATAAAATTAAGAATCAAATATTTTTTTAAGTTTAAAAATATTAACCATGAAATTAAGAATCAAACATTAAGATTAGAGGAAGAAGTATCTTTTACATTAAAATATTTTTTAATAAATTTTAGTTACAATAAAAAAAAAATCCAGGACCCTCCATATCTCACACCCAAATGATCCAAATAAAATATACACATGATAAACATCTTGATAGACATATAAGCAATCATATGCACCAAAACCAACTTTAGAAGGGCCGGCAACGATAGGAATGAAAGAAGAGGTAAGGATCTACCCATATGGATGTAAAAGCAAAAGCACATGAGAGACAAAAGGCCCGCCGGTTTGTGCAGTGCAGTGCCGGGTGGGACCACCAAATATCATGACTCGTAATCTTATCATAATCAAATCGGACAGCCACTAATTTATTACCGGACAAAATATCAGTCAATAATTCAGGCTCAAAATTTTAATAAATAGTGTTATTCAATCATAACTCAAAAGGGTAAGCTCAATCCAAGTTAGATTTGATCAAATGGTTTGTATAAGATCAAACTTATATAAAAAAAATTATATAATTAAGCTCAACTTTGATGTTTTGCTAGGTTGTTTGAATATTTGAATTGTCAAAATTTCTTAATTTTTTAAACAAATTTTATTTTTACTTCAAAATTATTTATTTATATTATTATTATTATTAAAAAAATATAAAATACTTTTTTTACTTAAAAATTACAATAATCACATTTATTTAAAAAAATCGTGGGTCTTGAAATTTAAAAATTAAGATTAAAATATATTTTAAATATTATTTTAAGATATTTTATAAATCAAGACAATAAAAATATGACAATGTGAATATTTTAAATTTTTGAAAAAATATTTATAATAATATACCCAAATATGGTATCTTATTACTATATACTAAAATTTGAAGAATTAATTAATATATAATATATTTTTTTAAGAAAAGTAAAATGTTATTGTGGTGTTCAGGCCAAGCCTCAAACCGAATCTAAGTTTGGCCTGAATTTTGAGTTAGTCTGAAGATGGAAGGAATTATTTTATTAAGCCTGTTCTTTTAAAAAAAAAAATTATTCAAACTGTCCTGAAGTAATGCCTTTAATTTGATTGTACAAAAAAAAAAATGCAACATATTTTTTCGAACCCTAAAGAGAAGCAAGAGAAGGATTAAAGAGGCACTCACTTCATTTGGTCGGTATGTATTAGCTTCCCTCCCAAAGATATGGGTGCATCAAGTTCATCGTTCTGGTACAGCAATTCTGCATCATCCACATTCATCTTTCTCTTTCTAAAAGCAGCCACACCCACCTGCACCAATCGGGTAAACGGACTCCCAGCCGGGTCCATGTGCCGGTAAAGCGGGTACCCGACCATGAAAGCAATGATTGAGATAAACATTGCAACGGTGGGGATGCCCAGACCCAAGCCCCACCCGATGTTGTCTTGAATGTAGACAAGCAACGTGACTGCCACCAATATTGATGCTCCCATCACGAAGTAGTACCAATTGAAGTAGGACCATGTCTTGGTGGACTGCTTCGGATCCGCGTCGTCGAACTGCTCCGCCCCGAATGATACCACACAGGGTCGGATCCCGCCTGACCCGATGGCGCCTAAAAGGAGTGACACGTACAGAACTGCTAGCTGTCCCCCATTAGCCTCTTGGCATGGCTCTTCGCCTCTACATGGCGGTGGCCTTAGCTGTGGAAGTATGGCTGATATCGTCAGGCTTATCATTCCCTGCTCATTATCAACATAAATAACAATATTTATTAGTTTTAGTTGGCATATATACATTAGAAAGATGAAACATCTTTGAAATGGTAATTATTTGAGCTTATGCATGATCAAGATTACGACACAAAAGTTTCTACTATATCAACTTTGGAAGAAATTTTTTAATGGAAAAAACTACTGCAGTGAAAGCAGTTCAAATTTTAACTTAAATTTTATTATAAGCTTTCAACTTGCTCTTGACTTATTCTCTCTTTAGTTTATTAGGTCTATTTACATCAATTACGATCGACTATATGTTTACCAAAGTCTTCTAATCAGCCTAATGGCATCAATTTGCCTTTTAATGAAGAAGGTCACGGGTTTGAAACAGGCAAGGTTTAACTAAATAGTATATGATGTGCAAGCAGATTTCTTTGTAAGAGAATCGTAAGGTGCGTGAATGAATAAAGAAAATAGATTATTTGGCTCATCTTTTTGTTGCACATGAATTAAAAAGTGATTAATATGGAATCCGTAAACAGCAACGCATTGTCGCTAGTAAATATGCGTACCGCTTCAGAATCATCAGAGTCAAAGAAATGGACATCTGATGACTTAGCAGAGATTTTAAACTTAGATAGACATTATTAAAAAAAATTTAAAAAAATCCAGAAGATGAAAATTAAGGACGCTCTAGGTGGAACTTATAGAAGCGCTTCTAAATAAAAGCGTCCCCAAAGGAGGAAGAAGAAGAGAGAGAAAGAGAGGGAGTGAAGGGATCTTAACTATTTGGTAGATGATGGAAGCGACAGAGATGGTCCAGAACTTTCCAGCAAAAGAATCAGCGATGAAGGCACCAACAAGAGGGGTCAAGCTTGCAGTTCCACCAAAATTTGTGAGTGTGTTTGCTGCTTTTGTTAGCGGCAAATGAAGCTGCCCGGTCAAGTAACTTATCATATTTGCATTGAAACCCACCACGGCTAGTTTCTCACACATCTCATTAGCTACACGTACACCAATTAATTACTCATTAAACAACTTAATTAAGACGTAATGTTGAAGAAGAAGAAAAAGAATATATGTGTGTGTGTGTGTGTTACCGAATATGAAGGGCATTGTGACGAGCCCTCCCTTTTTCCTTCTCTCGTGGCTTCGGTTTTCTGTCTGTTGCTCCATTTCTGTGTGTTTGCTGGTTAATTTCTGAGCTTGCTAGTACATATAATGGCCTCAGGACAAGTATTTATAGGCCAGACTGAGACTTGGAATTCTGTAGAGACTTCATGGCCACAAAAAAGAAACATTTTTCTTTTTCTTTCTTTAGGAGGTTCAATAATTAGGTCTCTTGAATCTGGGTCGATCACTAGGTGGGTAACAAGATAGAGCCTGGAGCTAATGATAGGGGGTTGAGATAAAAATACATACTACTAAACTTTCATAAATTTTAGGGGTTGGAAATATGCAAAATCTATATTATATATATCACACTAAGAAAATTTTAAAAATTTGGAGATTCGTGGTCCTTGCTAGTTGCCTTCTCTCCCCGATGGGTATGCTGTATAGTATATATCTTTTTTTTAATCTAGAAACATTAATTGGTTGCTTTAATTGATTCATATTTTTCATTGCAATATTTAAGAATAATTTTACATATATGTTAGAAATTGAAAATGACCCTTTTTAATTTGTGATTGTTTGTTTGTTTTTAAATATATGACAATTTTCATTAATTAGCTATGGGAATCGATTGTAAATTATGCAAAAGTAAAAAGATGGTGATGATGAGCAGGTTATATGTAGTTAAACCTAATTTTATTTTAACTAATAATACATTAATTAATATGACTTTATAGAAAATCAAGCATTATTCACTTGAAAAAATTTCGTGTAAGAATAGTTAAGCTTTCAAACTATATCTACTTTTTAAGTACAAACTACAAAGTGATAGTATATATGTGACTTGATAAAATATATGTGACTATGTGAGATCAAACTATAATTTGGTGCCGCTAATAGTTACAGTCGGCACCACTAGATCATATATAGACTATTTGCATTTCAAAATTTCTATTGAACATATAAATTTTGTGACAAAATTTACTATTTATAAATCATAATCAATCAATATGGCTTATTTTAATATCTGCATGTGTATGCACAAAGGCCACCTATGAACAAGTAGGCTTTGTCTTTTTCCTCCCCTTCACAACTTGCAATACATAAAACGTCCAATTAAATTAGAAAGAAGAATTGCTGGTATATGTTACATATTAATTTAAATATTTTTATAATATTCAATATAATAACACATCAAAGATATGAATAGTATACCTACAATATATAAAATGTCCATATCTGGGCTCCAAATATTGGGGTTAGGTCAGAACTTATTATAACCAATAATGTTTTTTTATATATTTAAAAAGGGCAGAGTAAATAAAAAGCAACTTAACAGTTGGAAAAAAAATAGTAACCTAACAAGATTATACTTTTGATAGTATCACCGCCAAAATTTAAAATTACTTTCAAGTTTCAACACACCTCTAACACAATACAATATTGTGTTCTTAGAAAATAACCCGACATTTTTGCATTTATGTTATTATTAATAATAGCAATTAGAGTGAATCTAACACGGTTAAGAAGAAGTGAATTCAACCCTATGTAACGTAATTTTTTTGGGCAAAATCCTATGTAACGTAATTGAATTCAAACAATAAAATTATATTGGTATTTTCCTCTCTTCATGAAAATTTAAATATTAATTCATCATGTTGTGAGAGATTAAAAAGATTTTTTTTGCTAAACCTAGCTCTCATTCAATATCATATTGGTTTTTTCAAAAAAATTATATTATATTGATGTGAAGATATGAACGATGTGACAAATGTAAAGACATATACAATCTATATTTAATATTTGGTTTAAATATTTTTTATAAAATATAAATATGTTTTTATACAAATAATATAATATAATCATTTTGATAACTAAATTTAAAAATAATAATTTCAAATAATTTAGACTTTTTTGATGAATATATGCAATTGGAACTTCACACAAAAATCATTCCCTTTATTTCATGATGATATATTCGAATTTTCATATCCATGATAGGATTTGAACTCATAATCCTATGAATTATTAATCCAATATTTATCACTTGAATTTTTTTTGTTAATATCATATATATTCTCTTTGGGTCATTTTCAAAATTTGAACCCAATCTTTTTTTTTTTATTTTGTTGTTTGAAAACAGATATATCTCTTTTACTATTTTTTAAAATATATGATAGATTTTTAAAATCATATATGATAAATATTTAGTAGCTCTCGGCCTTTCGCTTGCATAAATCAAATCATGCATGCATATTAACAGTTGCAATTCCAAATTTGTGATATTACATTTGGGCCACGCTTGAAAAGCATTTTAATGCAGTTTTGTTGCCTCAACCAATAATTAGATTTTTTATTAATTAAATTCAAAATAAAATAATAAATTGATGAGAGTTTGGTGTCAAAGAAGGGACAATATTTTCCCATCTAAAATCTCTTTCTAATGCTTCAATTTTGAATCTTTTATTGTATCTTCTTTAATAAGCGATGAAAAGGTGGAAAATGAACTTGAAAATGAGATTAACGACGGGAATATACTATTCTGAAAAATCAATAAATTTTGTATATATTTTTTGTAAAACACTATATTAATTCCACCGCTAGAGTTTGATACCCCTTCATACATGGATGCAAAAGCATTGTTGTCAAATTTTGACGTTGATTCTCTAAAATTATTGTTTTTATATCTTTAATTTATAAAATTGTGTTAACTCATTCATAAATTTAAATTGATTGTAAATTCAGTTAACTCATGAGTTTACTATTTTTATATTTTTAGCTTACAATATTATGTTAATTTACTCATAAATTCAAACTAAATAAAAACTCAATTAAATTCGCCAAGCTCATTGATTTTTTACCGAGTTGAGTAAGTTAAATATATATGATATAGAACTCTTTGGTCATAGAAACAGCAAAACCTGCTTCAAAGAAAAATAAAAGTAAAAAAATAAAAACTAATATTAATACAAACAAGAAATATTAAAAATAAGTTGCTCTATTTTAAAATTCTTACATTGAGTAAAATGATCTATCCATATAGATTGATTTAATTTCAATGATTAATATTTGAAATATATTTAAATTAAATTATGATTATATTTTATATTTTAATTATTTAATTATATACTTATAATATTTATTTATTAAAAAGATAATTTTTATAAATTTACAGTTTGAATTTACATTTTTTTTGACAAATTTATTTAAATTTATGAATTTAACAACCTTGTGTGGAAGTACTGTCAACCAAATTTTTTTCAATTAATTATATATAAAGAATTCAACTTCCATCGAAAAAAGATTTCAACTCTTTAATCATTACTCATATCTCACTTCATTTCACTTTTACCATTTAAACCCATCTTCGGTGGCTAAAATGATTTTAATTTTAATTTAGATTATGACTGAAATGTGCTTTCCATCAAATTAGATTTGGGCTCATGTATGTTATATGAAATTAGAAAAAGCCATGTTTGCAACAACAAAAAAATTCCATGTTATTAACGATTTATATAAACAATACTATGTAAAATACATACTCACTTGTTCATATAAAGTACCTCGGACTACCTTAATAGAATCAATAAAATCTGGTTAAATTTTTAATTTTATCTTTATTTAAATGAAAATATTTTAAATTCATATTATATTCTCTTTTAAATAGAAATTATGTTAAAAAAATTAATTAATACGTCATAAATAAATTATAATGAGGATCACCCATTTTTTAAAGGAAAATGACAATTAAGGCCTTTAAATTATTGAAATTTTAATAATAGATCATTATCCTTATTTGTAATAGACTATTTTTTATTAATTAGCTTAAAATGTACAACAGACTTTTATAAATTTTTAATTAACATTACAAAAAATTTTACATATTTTTTTTTAATTTTTTAAGCAATAATATAAGTAATTAGTTTGTGATTTATAATTAATTTTTATAAATTTTTAAAAAATATTATAAATAATTTTAAGTGTATTTTATAAATTTTTTAAGTGATATATTTATATATTGACAACAAAAATTACAAGTAATTCACTTACAATTCATAACTAACTTTCATAAATTTTTAACTAATGTTATAAATAATTGTAATTATATATTTTTTTAATTTTTTGAGTGGTTTATTTTTATATTAATAGCAAAAAATTTGAGATTCACAATTAATTATCGTAAATTTTTAACTAACATTATAAATAATTTTAAATATTTTGTATTAATTTTTCAATTGAATATTTATATTTTTAATTGTAAGTAATGACTCTGTTATTGAAAGTATAATAATTCATTGTCTATAATTATTTTAATATTTTTATTAGATCCCTATTTGTTATTTTCTCCTTGTGAAAAAAATTTGCACAACATAAATATATAATCACTGTTAACTTAGGAAAGGATAATGAAAAGACCATTTTGTGCCACCGATCGCACCCATCGGTTGTCATAAAGGAAGCACGATCAGTGCAATCTAGGGACGTGTGTTACCGAGTACTGACAAATTAAATGACTAATTGACTATACATATGATTTGGAATTTTGATATTTAAAAGAAATTGTGACCCCCATCATCTTAAATTATACAATACTTTTAAATAAAATTATATATATCAATAAATTTTATTTAATACATTTGAAAGTTAAATTTATGAATAAAATAAGTATTTTATATGTTAGGGTGTTAAATTTTTTTTAAAAATTTCTTGTAATTTAAGGGAGAAATAATAGTATTTTTAATTTAGAGGTATATATTTTATTGAAATAAGATGAAAAAATTAAAATGGTTGACCTTTTTATAAAGCAGGATATCAATTATTTATTCATATTTTATTTTATCATTTTATTATCCTTATTTGCATCATCTTTTTATTTTTAATTTTTTTTAAACCTCACCTAATGTGACATTAAAAATACAAAAGAAAATTAGGAAAGCGTTGCCTTTTTTTTTTAAATTATAATCAAGTAATACAAAAAAATTAATTATTATAAAATTCTTTAATAATTGAACTAAACGTCATTAACGACACGTTGATATTTCAATGTAATTCCTCCTTCTTTTTTTTGGCCTGGGCCTTTGTAGTAATTAATTGTCTTTTCATTGCTCTCATCTGTCTATTCGAACAACTTGCGAGCAACA